GATGGTTAATTTGCATGTTTCTCTTTTATTAGTGTGTGTGTGTGTGTGTGTGTGTGTGTGTGTGTGTGTGTGTGTATACACCTAAAGGTGTATACCACAGACCATGGCTTGTTAGCTTCTGATTCACCCTTTGCCAGAGAGGGAAGCTCTTTGGGATCCCAGACAATGTGATGGGAGATTTATCAGACTCAACACCTGGATGAGCTCCAAGTGTTGGCTTTTGTCCCCCTTGTCATGTAAGAAAACCAAAACTCAGTTTCCACATGTTTTCTTCCATATCTGTAAATGTCCTAAGGGTACAAAGGACTTTTCAGTGCTAAATTTACCACTATGGATTCTTGCTTTCTTATTGAATTAGACCTAGAAATTCCTCATCATCTTGTTAGTTCTTCAACACTTAAGGATTTTTTTTATCCAGCTATTTTAGCAATCCTCAGCCAGGTTATTTTGAACTGAATACTAAATCTATCTTTTTCACCTCATTTGATGGAATTCAACAGAGACATCCAAACACAAAGTTTTTACCTCTTTCAGACCACTAAAAAGTACTCCTTTTTTTTTCCTTAAGTAGAAATACTTAACAAGAAGCAAGCATAATATCCAGTGAAAGAGGTTTTGAGCGAGAACTTCTGTTGCTATTATACTTTACCTCCCCAGTGTAGTTCATCTTCTGGAAAAAAAGACATTCATCATAAAGTGAATGATCCTGGTTTAGTAATCCCAGTTTATATTTCAGTATGAATTATTACTCTGTGGTTTTGCATCAGTGTTTATTACCTTTCTACACTTTTGACATAAGTTATAGAAGAAGCCCCAAAGTGTATAATTGGATAGTTGATATAGAATTCAATCACTCACTATTTGTGGCATAGTCATTGTTTGCTAAGCAATATGCTCAGTGCTCTAGCGAGTTGCCCACCTGACTCTAACTCCCCTCAAAGGAACTGTGAAGCAGGTCCTCTACTTCAGTTATTTTGTATGTGTTTTTTTCTAGACGAATGAAAAAATATACAAAGCTCAGTTAGAAAGCAAAGATCTACAAGAGAAACTGCAGACTCTTACCAGACAATATAAGATTGTCTTACAGGAGGAAGATAAAGTTTTTATGAAAAAAAAGAAAATACAAGAAGAGTATGTTTCTATTTCTGATCCATATATGAGTCAACATACTGTAGTTATGGGATGCTTTCCTTGCTGTCAAAGTGGTAACCCTTCACCTGAACTTATTCTAGTTTTAAAACCTATTGACACTTAGATAAAGTACTTTCCGTTACAGGTGTGTTCCTATCAATGTGTGGAAATGTGAATAAAATCATAACCTTCCTATTATTCTTTCTGCAAGTTAGAGACAAAAAAAACAAACAAACCACTTTTTATAAAATGCTTACATCTTGTTTAATCCCATTGAGATAGGTATTTTGATCCCCATTTTTTGGATGGGAAAATCGAGGTTCATTAACAGGTAAAGTTTCTTTTCAAGGTCACACCCCTGGGAAGAGGTAGAGCCAGTATTCAAAATTGGCTCTAACTGGTTTGGCTCAGTGGATAGAGCATCACCCACAGATCCAAGGGTGCCCAGCGTGATTCTGGTCAAGGGCATATACCTTGGTTGTGGGTTTGATTCCCCAGTAGGGGGTGTGCAGGAGGCAGCTGATTGATGTTTCTCTCTCATCAATGTTTCTCTCTCTCTTTCTCTCTGTAAAATCAATAAAATATATCAAAATTGGTCTGATTGACCCCTTTACCTTTCACAAAAGAATACGGCAGAATTAATAAATGTAGTAGGAGAGACACACACATTCAGAGGGATAAAGTACTATACAGCTGTTCTTATTGTTTTATGGTTACTATTATAATTAGTGCTTTTTTCATAGCTTGGGAATTTTCATAACTTTAGATTTAGCCACGACATGCAGAAAGACTTTGTTTCTATTTTTACTGATTCATTGGGAAAATTCATTAGGTCAATAGTTTATGAACTGAATTTTCCAAACTACTTTTGAAAGTTTTAGTGATGGCATATTTTCTCATGCTGAGGATTTGAAAAATGATTATTTAAACCTTTAAAATATGATAGCTCTGTGTTTTTTTATGGTAGAAATAAAAAACAACTGAAATTTATTGCTGAGAAAGAAAACTTCCTGTCACAAAGAAAAGTAGACATCAAAAATATGGAAGAAGGACTTGTCACGCTTTCTGAACTTTATCGGTATGTTTGTTGCCTTTGAAATTTTTAATCTTCATTCCTCTCTGCATTTTATTTTTTTTAATTTTTAAAAAAAAATTTTTTTATTGCTTAAAGTATTACAAAGGGTATTACATATGTGTCCTTTTTTTTTCCCCGCCCTTGACAATCCCCTGGC